AAGGTAACAGCCTTCCATGCACCTCGGTGTCTAGTCATGCCAGTCACACGACCACAGAAACGTCTTCAGACAGCAGCTTGGAAACGGAGATAAGCACCGCACCCTAGAGTCGGATTCGACTGGCTTTCGAGCAAGGGAAACCTTTACCTTTACTTAATGTCAAGCTGGCTGAGCTTTGATGATGATGGCCAACATAGGTCGGCTCACAAGCCCACCGTCAGCTCAAGACTGTTTCCTTTAGCTAATCTCCTCTAGCCATTGTCTGCCCAGCCATTCCTTATTTCCAAAAATGTACAGTACCTCCTGGTACCACATCAGTTCAGACTACTGCTTCACTACAGAACTCTGCATTTTATAGCACAGATACCTATTTTGTTGCAGCTGTCCTGACACATGAGTTATGGCTGGCACAAGAAGGCAAGACACTCACTTGTGGTAATACAAAGTCCTCGATACTGGAGTAGTTTATGTTGAACATTGATTTTAGCATGAAAATTTCACTATTAAGCAGGCCAGTTCCTCTCAACATCTGAACAACCATTTAAAATAGTTCTCATTTTTCAATCCCCCCAACAGTTCCATATTTCCTTCCCATTGCTTCATGTGAGATGGACTCAAAGAAGATTAAAAAATCCTGCAAGTCAATATGGGGAATACTGGTTTCATCTGCAGAAAATTTTTAAATGCCACAAGTTTCAAGTCTTCTCTCTACCAAAGCAAAAACAAAAAACACCCAACCTTGAGGAAATCCAGTTAAAAGCTCCAGGTAAGTGACAGTCATCCTTTATTTTGCAGCCTATTTTTGATGCAGTTAATACAACACCATAAAGAATATCTATACTTCTTAACTATGCTTTTAAATGTTAACTTGACATATTTTCGTTTTTTAACACGAACACATCAGATATGTAATAAAAAACTTGACTGTCTTTATCATTAGGGCTTGGTTATATGGTCAGAGGCAACCACTATTAACTCAACGCTGAACTTTTCAGTAATTTGTATATTTACAGAGAGTAATTCAGTTGTTTTCTGCACATATTCAATGTGCAGCTGTCATGCATCCAGAACTCCACCCATCTCTGGATATTCGATCCAATAATGATGCTATTGGTTAGTATCCAAAGACCTACTTTGGGCACACCCAACAGCTTGAGTGCATTTGAACAGCCAAACAAAAATGTAATATGTGGGGGTGAACAGGGGTGGCTGTTCATGCACTACAAGGATGCTGATACACTGGGCACTTGGAATTAGGCAATTCTTTGGATCCTGTCCATAGTTTACACATACAAGGTTTAATTTTTTTAAAGCCAAGAGACACTAATTTTGTAGAGATTCTTCTAATAATCAAGTTGCTCCATCATCAAGGGCTTTTCTGCATGGGTTTTTTCCCGTGGGTTCTGGCCCCATACAGCTTTGGTTTACTTTGGTTTCCGCATGCATTTTTGTGCCTTTAGTTTTCACTTCATTTTGTGTTTGTTTACCTCCCCAGTTTTTTTTCTGGCTCTTTTGAGGTCACTTTTATTCCAACCTTTTTCTGGAGACCAATTTTGAGTCAGCTTTTCCTAGGGCGTAATATCACTTTCCTTTGTCCTGCCCACTCCCATCTGCATCCAGACTACTTTTCAGTGACTGAACTGTCACCATCATTAAACCAGCCCCTCTCTTCCCAAGGAGAGTGATTTCAAAATATTTTTAAAAGGTTCTACTGCGATATGAGAGAACTAAGCAACAGTAACCGCTGTGAAATCATCACTACTAGCACTTTATTATGTTTTATGGTTTTAGAATTGTTACTTATATTAATTGATGCTGTTTAATCTTTATTCTATACTATTGTAAATTTTATGTTGTTTTTTTGTAAGCCTCCCTGAGCCGGCCTTGGCCGGGAGGGCGGGATAGAAATTTAATAAATCAAATTATCAAGATAATGCTGTAGTGTTGTAATGACAGTTTAAGCAAGTTCTCTGAATTCCCAGCTTTATTTTTTTTTTTTTAAGTAAGTCTCTATTTCCCCACACACACACACACAGAGCTATAAGGAAAAAGGCATATCTCTGTAAGGGAATGTGATAGAGACTTACTTTTAAAAAAATGAAAGCTGGGAATTCAGAGAACCTGCTTAAACTATCGTTATAACACTGTAGCACTACATCGATATTTTAGGGCCAGTTTAAAAAATAAGGGGGTGCTGTGACACCACTGATACACGGAGAGAGCAGATGTATGGAAGAGCCCTGCCCAAAACAATTCCAGTGCTTGTGGATCAACTCCCAAGAAAATCAGGAGTAATTCCAGTGTGCAGAAAAGGTCTTAGCAAATTCTTGAAATAATAAAAAAGAACCAAGAAACACATTCTCAGCATACACAGCTCTGAAATGTGACACTTGAGTCTCCCTATGAAAAAGTACTAAACATTCTTACAATATTTATTCATTCAGCCCCAGTAATTCTTTTTTGTTCAAATGGGTAAAATGAAATTCACCCTTCCTTTTTAAACAGAAAAACAACAAAGATGAAACTGAATCAGTGAAATGTTTAAAAAGTAAAATAAAAGGTTAGATTGTTCTGTCCACAGAGCCATTTCCTAGTTAATCTAGTTAACAACCTAACCCCTGATTTTTGATTGTGCATTTTTAAAAATCAGTTGAAGCTTGATATATTTTTAAAGAACAGGAGTAACTCTACTATGCCTACTACGTCTCTACAAGTCTACTATGCTTCTGGACTTAAAAAATGAAGTTCTAAGACTGTATCTATTAAAATAAACCCAACTTGCACATCTTTTTCCTGCCTGAACTGTGGAGCAAATGGATTTAGTGCAAAAAGGATTGCAGAAATAGGATGCTTTCTTTACTTGGGGGATTTGAGAGCATGGAATGAATTACTGGCATTTTTGGAGCCATGTTTTCAAAAGCTAGCTTATCACACAGACAAATGTAGAATAAGGATCCCTTGAGCTCTGCAACATGAGAAAGCATAAGCCTTCAAAGTAGTGAGAACTGCTTTTGCTCGCTAATTAGTCAAAATCAAGAAGGATCTACCAAGCAGCAAAATAATGTTGTAGAATGGAACGTACCATTTCATACTTCGGGTGGAAAATTCTGTTTCTGAAAACTACCCTATGTATTATAGTCCCTGCAAAGGGAAAGACAGAAATAGCCCTTTGCCTGCTGCACTATTAGAGTTTTCTATTTTAAGGAATTTTTCACATAGGGAAGGGATTCTCTATCTGGAGTATGAAGTGGCACCATACATACTGCTGCATTTGTAGACCAGACCTGCGCTGATCACCAGTTTGGAATTGCACCGGCAGCAGTAGTATATTCCCTATTTTATTATTCCTCATCTCCTGGAGTGAAAACTGAAACTCAATTATACAAGTGTAAATATGCTCCTCACAATCTAAGTCATGTGAAGTGTATTTTGATGCATCTTTTAGAGAAGCAACCTGTTAACCTTCACTCATACTTATTCTAGACCAGAATCCACAGTATTTTACATGCTCAGGAAGTTTATGCTAGAATTTGTATTGCACATGCTGATGTACTATTCAAACTTTACATACATGTTCTGCTTCTGAAACAAGTTTTGGCATTCACATTCTTTAAAACCTGTCCTAAAGGAACACTTCTTTGCCATCTAACTTACATTAGGATCAGTTCACTGCATGAATCTTTGCACAAAATATCATCACGGGAAAATGAGTGCTGTCTGTGCAGCGCCCAACATCACACAGTTCCTCCAATGTATGAGTCAAGAAGGGCATCAATGCAGCTATTTTACAAGTGTGAATCTTTCCTAATTTATACTTCAGCACTTGGCTAATGTGGAATCTTGATTTGCATGAGAATTGCTGGCTCTCAAAAAGATCTCAAATTTTACTGTTCAACAAGCACCAACAATTTGTACTTCTTGTAGAACAGACTGTGTTTGATGCTCAACTTTTCAGCTAGAACTGCATTAAATGAAAGACATCCCAGGTAAGTAGATACTGAATAGCTAAAAACAGATGCAGATATGTGGGCGTTTTTTCAGTTTATGTTCCACATACATTACTGATTTGTGTGAAGCTACCATGTTGTACACATTCTGCTTTTAAAAACAGAGAAGAGAGCCCTGACCTTGATAGCCCAGGCAAGCTCAATCTTGTCAGATCTTGGAAGCTAAGCAAGGTTGACTCTGGCAAGTACTTGGATGGGAGACCTCCTTGACATACCAGAGACGGGAGGCAGGGGCAGGCTTTATTCAGTCGCCTCTCTGAATATCCTCCAGGCCCCCAGGAGGGGTCAGTCACCAGAGGCCGCCATGACTTTCAGGTGCACACATACAGACACACACAAATACACACACACACATTAAACAAAATGAGAAGAGACACAATGTAAAGCAGCACCCGAGCCCATATGGGAGGTTTGCACGTTTCACTTTCTTTCTTTTGATATGGCAAAGGGGATCTACTGTTCACAGACTTTTGACACTCAACCACATGCTAGGTTTCTGAGCAGATTAACATATAGCATTAAAACAAGTCTAAAGCCTCCTTAAGTCAAAGGGCTAGCTTACAGATTCTTTGATCCTGGCCTTTATATCTCAGAGCAGCTGCAAGCTAAATGAAGAAAATACATTGTACCATCAAGTCTCTTGGTTTTGCTCTAAACCTGTTAAAAAACCAACTTCATTAACGTTAAGTGATGGAGAAGGAGTTTCAAAACCTAATGTCTAGGCTCTAAGAACCTAAACTTGGAAGAAACACTTTGTAACTCAGAAAATATGAATTTCAGACATCAGACAGAAATGACTAATATAAGCAAAAGTAGCACAAATATACATTAATGAAAGCAAATACTTGATTTTATCAATTGCCACTCTTGAATATAAGTATCTTGCTTTGAACAGAAAGCAGCTTAAAATATAATTAACTATCAGTAAATATAAGTATCTTGAAAGCAGCAGAGAAGCCATTCTTTTACAAACAATTATGATAATATAAATACCTGCAGGACTGTCCGCGTTTTCTCCTGGGTGTAGCTGAATGCCACCAGAGTCTATGGAATTTATTGTAACTGTCTGTAGATTTGGCAACTGAGCAGTACTTAGACTAACAGGAGTCGATGTCAAAGCCCCACCTGCTGCAACTTGACCCAGAGTGAGTGTCTGCACAGGTGTCAACGTTATCTGCTGGCCAGGAGCATTCTGTAGCTGCAAATTCTGTAAGTTCTGGACTCCTTGCACTTGAAACGTTTGCCAAGTTATCTGGCCGGATGGGGTCACTGTTTGTGCCTGGATTAAAAAAGTTCCAGGATTCAACTGAAGTTGAAGATTCTGCAATGCCTGCTGTGATATACCTTGGTTGGCTTGCACACTGTGGATTGTCTGTTGCGCAATACCTTGTACGATTTGGGCTTGACTGGTTGTTTGCTGAGACTCTTGGAGCTGTATATGCTGTACAATAGGCTGTGCTGTGGAGACCTGAATATTCTGAGCCTGCGCCTCATCCGAGACAGATGTTTGGATGTAATTTCCCTGAAGATCAGAACAGTGTACCTGACCAGTAGTGGTGGGCAAGCTGTTTGCATTTTGTTCCAGTATACTACTACTGTCTATAGTAACAGGCATTTGTGACGATGATGATGTTGGCACAAATAAGTCTGTATCAGTGGCAGTTTCTGTCATTTCAGGAGAAACCTGTTCAGCAGTCCTATCAGAAGCGTCTGAACTATCCATTGCCTGTGCAGTACTTATCAGGTGTCCGTCGGCATTAATGCCTGCAGTCATGGTCTGAGAACCACTCAGCCCGAGAGAATCTAGATCAACACTATTGATGGGCACAAAAGCAATATTTCCTGGCAAGCCAAGAGGGACATTAGCGACTACCTGTGCTTGCCCTGGAAAAGAAGAACCTCCAATTGTAACGCCCTGGACTTGGCCAGTCTGTGATAAAATATTCTGAATATTACTAGAAGATGTTCCAGAGGCAATTATGGTTTGATTGGAGCCAGGAATGATTTGAATTTGACCAGTTTCTTGATTTACGCTGCCATTGTCAGAAGAGGCTGCAAAACCAAGCTGAACCTGCTGACCATCAGCTGTCTGAATCTGGGGTATTACTTGATACTGGACATCAGAGACAGTACCATTAGATGAATCCGACCCAGGTGCAACAGAAAATATCTGTTGGTTCTGCAGACTCTGAAGGGGAAGAACGTATTGCCCACTTGACGTCACTGTGGCAGCCCCTGGAATTTGTACTATATTGCCAGCTTCATCTTTGATGGTGGTAGGCGTAGCAGACAGCACTTCCCATCTATTTGGAGTTCCTGCTAACTGTACAGAGGCCAAATCTCCTGTCTGAACAGAAGCAAACAAAATTAAAAGTTATCTGGTGTTAGATTACAAATGAAAACTAGGTCAATACATTACTAGTATGCATGTAATCTGCATAAAGTTTAGGACACAATGCCACAGAATTCAGTATACTTTAACTTATACAAATACATGGTTTTTAAAATCCAAATTACTGGATATTAGTCCAGTATCTTAAAAATCAACACAAAACTAATTACTGAATAGCTAACCATTAACTATTGGTACCTTCCAATGGTTAAATGACATATGCAAAGAATGCAATTTCCCCTAATTCTGCTCATTCTATTGGTAATTCGGTACATCAAATTTTCAAAATCCTAAATGTGTACTTTGAATCTCTATACCATCAAACATTTATAGTTTAATAATAAAGGACAAATCAAGAACAGAAGTATACCATGAGTCAAGATAAAACTTTTGCATGACCAAAGCTGGGAGTCAGACACCAACTGGCACATACAAGTACTTCTGTGCATACACAGCACATTTCTCTCTCTATTCCTCAGAAAGCAGCTCTTTGTACTCTACTGGATGCCACCACTTCCCAGACAGCTCTTTAAATCCAGGCCCAGAAGTATACAAACTAATGCACAGTAACTGATCTAAAGTCCAACTGCACTGTGTTGAAAAGTTAGGTATTTAAACATATACCCACACTTTTAATGCATTTTAATCCCCTACTGCCTCAACTGGTGCAATAAAAAGTGCTATTCTTGTCAGAAAGCACTGGTTATTTTGGACTCACTGAATCTTTTATGAGGCAAATGCCAGGGTGTGGCTAAAGAGCACACAGACACTTTCCTCTTCATCTAAGGAGGCCTAGGTCTGGTCAGTGGTTAGATGGGAGACCTCTTGGGAACCCCAACCCGCCTTGAGTTTTATGAAGGAAGAAATATGGGATATAAATGTAACAGATGAAGTCCAGGTCGGAAGAAGGATACTGCTTGATATAATCCATCTTGGAGGATCCTAAACTTCATCCAGCCCTAAGACAACAATGGTCATGAAACCAAAACATAACGACCACAGAAACTTGCTGGGTACCTTGGGGCAGTCACATACTCTGAACCTATCCTACCATGCAAGGTTTCTGTGAAAATAAAATGGAGAAGAGAGCAGTATGCACCCATTTTGTGTCCCCACTGGGAAGTAAATCTGTAATTGAAACTTCCCACTATTTCTGTAACATTTTCTACTTCTGTCCTACATGGAAAGTCAAATGCCTCACTCTCAATACTTCCACTGCACTTCCCCCTTCCCCAACAACCTTGGGCTGAATTCGATGCTGTGCCAGCATAAGGGACTGGAGAAAACTGATTTCTCTCCTGCTCTATCCCCAGCAACTACCTGTCAAGTCTACTGGCAGAAGAGGAAAGAGGGAGTTTTTACATTTGTCTTCCCTCCTCAATGCAGCCACTCACTTTGTGTGGCTTAGAGGTGGGGAGAATCCTATTTCTTCCAGCCTCTTATGCTGAATTCTGTTCTCAGGCATAGAATTCAGCCCAAGGTTACAAAAAAAATATGCAGTAAAAAATAACAAGACATCTGACCTTCCATTCAGGGCAGCATTCCCTAATAAAAGAAATAAGTAGAAAGGTGTTAATAGTTTCACTACTACTGATGCTTTTAATGGAGAAGAATAAAGTTTAGTATCCTCCAAGCGGAATGATAATACATGCTACATTTCTTACATCCTAGGCTTTATCATATTTATATCTCACCGTCTTCCTCCATGGAACACAAGGCATTGTGTATAGAGGTCCCAAGAGTCTACTATTCAGACACTGACTAGACCTAGACCAGCTTAGCTTTTGCAGCTCAACGAAAACGTTTTTAAAAGAATTGTCGCAAAAAGCAGATGCTGTACATTTTTCACAGAAATTACGTTTTCACGATCAACTACTAAAGGTCACACTATAACACATTTGATACTACTGAAACTTCCTAGTTTCAGACAATTTTCCTGGTGTACAATAGTGAGAATTTTAGTAAACAATTATAATTCCCAAAAACTTCACATCGTGTGCCTCTATGATTAAGTACAGTGTGCCTATGCCTCTCAGCCACCCAGTCAGACAGTAGGGTCACCTTTTGTAAGAAACAAGGACACACACACACACACCCATCTCTGCAGACTTCTAATTTTTGTTCTAGTTGATTCTCAGACAACACCTACAAAGAGGAACAAGTTAACATTTGAAGCTCTTCCTGGCAAGATGACAAAGGTTGCATCCCAGCGAGAGCCTTTCATCTCCTTGTTCTTACCAGGAATTGTAACAAAGATTCCATCTTAGATTTAGCATAAAGAATAAAGCTGTTGAACCAGTGCAGTAGAACAGTCAGAGTGCCAGACTAGGATCTGGGAGACTCAGGTTCAAAACCCTGCTCTGCCACAGAAGATTGTTGGGTGACCTTGGGCCAGAGAACAACGAATACTGAAAACCATTTTAACCCATAAAATGAAACTCAGTGCTTCGAGGTATGAAGACTTCTGTGGGTATTTTTTTGCTCTTCTCTCTTTTACTTTTAAGATGCATTTCTGCCAGCAAAATGAGGCCTTCATATTGCCATAGCCAGTTAGTCTGAAAAGATATTAGTATAAGATGAACTCTGAAGGCCTGCTAATATTGTTTATGTACATAAGAAACACAAGCAATAAAAAATAACACTTGAATTTCATCTGCCTTAGCCACACCTTTTAAAATGACTCACATGTCCCCTCGCCCTTCCTCGACAGAGCCCAGAGAGCCATACAAGACTCTCCCTCCTCCCTCACAAGAACTTGATAGGTTAGGCCAAGAGACAGACTGGCCCAAGATCACCCAGTGAGATTTGTGCCCAAGGATGGATGTCATTTTATATTCCAACCACTACACCGCAGCGTGTCTCAAATACAACCTTAATTGTCTTAAACATTCTTTTCCAGCTATCTCAAAAATATTTAAAAAATACTTTACTCTGTTTTGCACGTATACCTCTCTACATACTGGGAAAATTGAAAGAGCACGGTGGAAGGGCACATACAAAGCCACTCTGAGTTTCAACATTTCATGCTGCCGAAGCATTTTCAGGTATTTCAGAACAGGAGACTCTCCTTACCAAACCACTTCTTGGAGGTCTTTGGATAAACTTCTTCAACTCTTTGTATTTATTCTGACCAACCATAAGCAGCACATCAAAAATTGTTAAACAAGCTCTAGTTATACTACAACATGATAATCCTAGCAGTAAAAAATAAGATTTTGGCCCATGGACTATAACATTTACTTCAATAGACTTAGAAGAGTGTAACTCTACTTTGGATGGCACTGTAATTCACCTACTCAACCAGTGGAAGAAACGGTGAGAAATGGAAGAGCTCGCTACATTTATGCAATCTCTATTTGGGGTGTGTTTATACCACCTGCATTCCTGATTCTCAAAGAAAGACACAAGCAGTCAGTCTTACAGAAAATGGAAGAACTAAAGCCTGAGAGAATCCTCAATTGAGTTGCTAGATGGTGCCACTGTGTAACTGGGTTATGTACATCCTTTATAAGAGTATACTGTAAAATACTATTTAGAAGTGCATTAAACATTAAATAATGTTGTCAGGATTTCTGCTTCTATTGAAGCCAACAGAACTCAACTTCCCAGTTAAGCATTTTATAAATTAATAATTAATAACACCTTAGCCCTAGCATGCAACTACTACAGGGTGTTTACACTTCAGATTCTTTAAAAAGATAATTTGTATTTGGAAGTATACGATTTAGTAGTTTCTCAGTTTTGAGCACTTGGCCAATCTGGTTTTTGCTACTACCAACACATTTTATACAAAGCTCCTTCAGACTTTTCTTTTACATGCCCACTAAGGTCTATTTTAGTTATCATGCCATTCAATGCTCTCCAAGTGTCTAAATATCGGGAATGCCTTTTGGAGAACCAAGTACTGAGAAAGTTTTTGTAACGAAGCATCTATCAAATTTGCATACTGCCCTTCTTCTAAGAGCCTCAAGTGAGGGATACACGGTTCTCTCCTTCCACATTTTTTGCACTCACAACAACACTAGGGGATCGATCAGAGAGACAGAGAGAGAGAGAGAGAGAGATTTAGAGAGCTCTGTGGCTGAACCCAAGTGCTCATCCAGCATTTTAACCACTATATCACACTGGGTCTCAGGTCTATTTAAATTTTTATTAAAAAACAAAAATAAAAACCAATATGATGCCTTTTAAGACTAGAAAATAGTTTCAAAGAGAGAAAAATAAACTGAGAAAATACTTCAGAGTCCAAAACAAAGACATCCTGAATAGTGCCATTTGCCATCAAGCTATAAGATCACCACAAGTGGCTTAAAGTTTCAAAATGCAGAAAACATGAAACATTCAATTTTGCCCCCAAACACACACAGGGAGAGGGAGCACCGAGATGCCTTTATGAGCACAGATTCTGTGTCAGTTGAGCTGTTGGAACAGTTGAAGAGTGCCCCCAGTTGAGGGGGGGGGGGTGCTCAGAAGAAAACAAGCTCTGTACAGACAGCAAACCCCAAGAGAGCTCTTGTCAGGAAGAAGAGGAGAGTCATTTCAGACAAATGACAGAAAGATGAAGATCAAGCATCAGAACCATCATTTTAAGAAAAAGAAAAAATCAGCAGAAAAGGTAAGAATGGCTCAATGAAAAAAGCAGTATGAACAGAGAACTTTACTAAATGTTAAGTGAAGGAACAGAAGCACAATCTGAAATAAGGTTATCACTGAATTCAAAGAAGGTCTGTGCCTTTTTGAGCTGAACTGTCTTCACAAAGGCACCAGACAAGCCACACAGAGACAGCTCTGGGTGTTAAGGAGGGCTGGAAGAGCAATACACTTGACACTGGCTGCACTAGCTCAGCATTAAGACTTCCCTACCTTGGGAAAAACCAGAGATATGAAAATATTCTACTATTTGAGGATTAGACAGGCCTCTACGCAAACGATTTTATTTAATGATGGTTTACACA